TTAAAAGCTAGTTTGCTTTCTCGAAACAATATATCAATATGCATACCGTGTGATGCTACATGTATAACGCTTTGACCCCTGTCTCTGAAGGTCATTATCACACAGAACGGTCACACTGTCCCTCGGCTCACTCATTCGGGTATATCCGACCTCTCAAATGGATGACCTATTAGAGCCTTTATCGGTTTATACTTTATGCCTAAGTAACATGGAATATCCTACCCAACTGGCCTAGACCGTCAAGCACAGTCCAGTATGAGTAAACGTCGTTTGCTTAGTATGGTCCACGAGGGACCACACTCCCACTGAGTTTGTGTTCCATTATATCATTTTATTTTACAAACTCTCATAAGGCCTTTAATGACCACATTCACCCAACAGGAAGCCGTTATCCAACGTTAGGCTTTCTTTCTTAGAATGTTTGAAAAGTGACCCTCAATACCTGAGACTTATAGAGGGATAACAGGAAGCCGTTCTCCAACACTAGGCTTTCTTTCTTAAAATGCTTGAGAAGTGACCTTCAATACCTGAGAGATAAGGAGTTATAAAAATTATTTTCTCTCTCTAAAAAAAGTTTTAAAGATAAATACTAATTAATACATAGTATTTTTTTAAAAAATGTTAATTAGATTGGAAAAATAAGTATGTGAAATATGTGAGGCTCCATGATCACACACATGTACTAATAAGCATGACAGAGATAATAGGATTATCTATAGAGACCTATCAACAACCCACAAAACCTAAGCCCCATTAATTCCCACAAAATGATTTTGAAGTATGAAAATAATTTCGGCAGAAACTATCCATGCTAGCTAAACGCACCAATAACATATAAGTGCACAAACACAAGTAATTAACTTTAAACAATACATGAGCACTATGCCTGTATACGCATTCCCCAACATCCTTTCTACTTTGAATACAAGCTTTTGGATAAAATATCATGCCATTGACTGATGCAAACAAGGAGTACAACACACCTATGAATATCGTCAATGAAAAAATAGGTAAGGTATGGTATGTCAGTGGAGTTTTACGTGGAATGGCAGCCCACTCTCTTACGGTGGAGTGCCATGAGGGCTGGCAATGGGTTCGGGAGGCCGGGCTGCCGGCCTGGCTCTAAAAAAAGTAGGGCTTGAGCTACAAACTGTGGTATGAAGGCTGGGCTGGGCTAGGCTCAGGCCCAAAGCCCGGCCTGGCCTGCTCCAATCAAGGCCTAAGGTGGGCTTGAGATGACCTTATAGGGACAAGGCTAATCCAAGGCCAAATGGTCTAAGGACCCGACCAGGGTTTGGGTAAAAGCTAATCAGATCGAGGCAGACCCATGCCCGACCTGATCTGTTGCCATCCCACTTGTCAAAATAATTTCAAACCAAAACCAAGAAAACCTATATAAACACCCTCTCCTTGAGTCTTCAAACCAAAGCCAAGAAAACCGATATAAACACCCTCTCCTTGAGTCACGAACAGTGGAAGAAAATATAACTAGAATCATGGTAAATTACACTCTTTCCATCACTATCCTTTAAATTGATTGAATGGAGATAATATTTGTGAACGCAGCTTTTCCATGGCAGTATAGGAAAAATCGGACGGTTCAAATTCTAACCCTGCGGTTAGATAGGAACCAGTCACATGCCAGTTATTTGTAATGCATTTTTTAATGTTATTCATTATTTTGGCAAATATTGGAAATTGTTTTCGCCATTAATACTTATTTTTATTTTTTTTCATATTTTTTTGGAAAGATTCAAAAATACCCCTTGGGTACATATCTTTTTTTTAAAATTAATTTTAAACTTTATTTGGATTGCTTTGTTTAATCACGCTTTAAATATACTTCTTATATTTATTTTTATTTTTTTTGTATTTTTATCTTCTTAACGTATTTTTGACCGCTTGAGACTTCACCGATTTGACCAGTTAAACCGACTAATTTCCCAGTTAGTACCGAATATGGTTTCCGGCCATGTCTTATGTCTTGTTAACTGTTTCGGTTCGATTTTTCCTCTTCATGGTTCCAAAGGTGAGAGTCTAGTTTCCCAACAGCATTGTCTATGTGGTTTCGTTTTCGAAAAAGACAGTAAAGGAGAGAGCACGTTTCTCTCGAGGAGCCAATGCAGTACCTTTACTTTTTGAGCTACCCCTTTGTTGAATTTTCCAAGATTTGATGCCCTCAAATCCAAAGGCATTTCTTATGGCCCCGTTTGAATGTTTCTGTGTTATGCCCTATGTATAAAACTCGTGTAGTTGCCCCTAAATAAGTGCTATATTGGCGGAGTATTATTGACGAGTGTCATTCCAATCAATTGGGGTTCAGGATCCTTGGTTTAAGTAACAAGTGCCACTTAAAAATAAAACTATGCTTATCAGTAAAATGTTGTTAATGGCGAGGTTTTGTTGAATGTTTAGAAATAAAGATAAGGGATTGATTATTCATGAAGAGACCATTAATCTTTATCGCAAAGAGGTCACAACTATTTCTATTCATTAAAAGCTAATTGGGTGGCTTGGAGCACGAAGTCTAATGATTTTTATTTTGAGCTTTGTGTCTATTCAATAGCACCATCTTTACTGCAACATTGTGGATATCATCTATGTCTAATAAGTAAATATTTTCATGCGTGTTAATAAAATGGTAAAAGTAAGAGAAGCATACAATAAGACTATTTTCTTTAGTACAAGAACCTCATACTTACTCTCTACTGTGAGTTACGAAATCAAGCGGATGAACGTGTTTTGTTAACTGTGTGCATAAAATTTAAGATCTTTTTCAAAATTTCAAACTAAATAGTCTAATTTCACATTGGACAATAGTAATTGTAACAAGACATTTTAAGACCGAAAACTAAAAAAAGAAGGTAATAACAAATAAAAAAATATAAGGCATAAAGAATTTATATATGCCACCCCTCCTTCAGCCGTCCTATCTAAATGGATGACTGAGATGATCTCAATCATAATCTCATATCTAAGCACTACTTTACTTTTAATTTTGTTTACAAATCATATTGAATTCTCTCGTAGGGTCGTGCCTACGAAAAATATTCCTAGTAAAATAACATGACTAAATGAGTAGTGTGGTTATTTTATTTTTTTAAAATACTTATTTTATTTGTATCCCATTAGAATGACATTCACCAAACGTGTACAATATATTATGCCAAATCAACACACCCTTAGATACCTTGACTCATCATCATCATAGCTATTTCCCAGTTATTTGGGATCACCTATACGAATCTCGATCTATCATTCTTCTTTATGAAAGTAGGAGCCACCTTGACTCTTGATGGAAAATTTGCCCACTCCCACCTCCTAGATCCCCCGCATTTTGAGAGAGTTGCTTTCTAACCAAACATTCATGAGATAGCAATTGCTTATCTTGGGAAATTATCCCACAAGAGAGAGGACTTTCTTCAAACAAAAATTCCTCCGAAAAATAAAATTGCATATCTATTTTGAAGGTTGGTCGATTTAATGAAAAATAGATACAATAAAATCATTTACTTTTGGTACAAACCAGTGATTCAAAAGTCGGCGAGTCGAACCGGACTGATTCGATTCGGGAACCGGCAAACCCGATCCGGTTCCAGTGAAATATCAAAAATCACCCGGTTCTATTCCATACCGTAAATCGCCATGTGACGTCATGATTCTCCCAATTTTTCGATTCATGACGTCATGGCCCGCTGATTCCTTAATAGGCATTTTTGTAAATACCGATTCTTCAATAGGCATTTTTGTAAATTTTAAAAAGTACATGTACTTTAAGATCCCTTTAATTCTTCAATGGGTATTTTTGTAAAAAAATTTCCCACTCACTCTTCAATGGGTATTTTTATAAATTTTCTTCAATGGGTATTTTTGTAAAGTTTCTTCAATGGGCATTTTAGCATTTTTGTAAATTGTTTTTGTAAATTTTCTTCAATGGGCATTTTTATAAATACCGATTCTTCATTGGGCATTTTTGTAAAAATTATTTTTATAAATTATTTGCAATAGGCATTTTTATAAATATAGATTTTTCAATGGGCATGGGTATTTTTGTAAATTTTAAAAAGTACATGTATCTTAAGGTTCGCACACCTTGTCACGTGACTCTCTTCACTTTGCACGCATTCTCCTCATTAACTATAAATAAGTATTTATTCACTACAACTTCCTTCTACCTCTGCGATGTGGGATAACGTGAAAGTATTAACTTGAAACATTAATATATTATATATTTCGTTTGTGTTTTTAATACTACTAAGTAGCATGTGGTTTATTGGTTATAACTTTTTCTTGTCAATTTTATTTTTTTGAGGTCAAATTTTTTTCTTATAAATATTTTTCTTGTCAATTTTATTTTTTTGTAGTCAAATTTTTTCATGTCAATTTTAATTTTTTGAGGTCAAATTTTTTTCTTATAAAAAAAATAAAAGGTTTTTTTTATCAATTTCGCTTTTTGTCAAATTTTTTTATTATAAAAAAAAATGAAAGGTTTTTTTTATCAATTTCGCATTTTGTCAATTTTTTTTATCAATAAAATAAAAAAAATTTTATAAAAAAAATGAAAGGTTCTTATCAATTATTTTTCTTGTCAAATTTTTTTTTTTGTCAAAAATATAAAAAAATTTTGTTAAAAAAAAAAAGTAATAAAAAGTTATTGTCAAAAAAAAAGTTCTTATAAAAAAATAATAATACAACAAGTATTTTCGTCATAAGAAAAAAATAAAAGGTTTTTTTATCAATTTCATTTTTTATCAAATTTTTTTCTTATCAAAAAATGAAAGGTTTTTTTATCAATTTTATTTTTGTCAAATTTTTTTCTTATCAATAAAATAAAATTTTTTTTATAAAAATAAATGAAAGTTCTTATCAATTATTTTTCTTGTAAAAATTTTGTCAAAAAAAAATAAAAATTTTGTCAAAAAAAAATAAAAATTTATTGTCAAAAAAAATAAAAATTTATTGTCAAAAAAAAAAATTTCTTGTACGAAGACGGTCGACGACTCACACTGAGAGTAACATCGCTTTGCTCCATGCACCTCTTTCTCTCGCTAAAATTTCTTTCTCTCCTCTAATGCTTCAATGGTGAAAATGCACACAGACAGTCCCTTCAACTGGGAGCTTCGTCTTCTCCCTTGCTTGAAACCCATATTCCTCTTTAGAGACAGTCTTCTTCTTCATATACAAATCCCCAGAAACACCATTGATAAGCCCAATTCTAGGGTTTGAGAGAGATTTTACTGAGCTACCAGACTTTGAAACCTCATAAAAATGGCTGGACCCTCTCATTCACTCATATCTACGAGCACTGCTCTTTTTCCTCCATCACTCCCCGTTCAAAGGTCCACTTATTTATCTAATCCCCTCTTCCTCAAGCCTCTTCCCAAAAAATTTAGGGTTTATGCATGTTCTTCCAGCACTGAACCGAGCAATTCCCTCCCCACAAAAGGGAAAAACCCTTTGATGGCTGTTCTGGAAATTCCAGTAACCATTTGGAGACAAACTATGAAGCCATTAAGTGATTTTGGGTTTGGAAGACGCAGTGTATGGGAAGGGGGAGTGGGTCTATTTGTTGTTTCAGGCGCAGTTCTTCTTGCTCTTTCGCTTGCATGGTTGAAGGCATTCCATATAAGGTCTAAGTTTAGGAAATACCAGACCATTTTCGAGTTTTCAAACGCATGTGGAATTTGTATGGGGACTCCTGTTAGAATAAGGGGAGTTACTGTTGGGACCGTGGTGGGTGTGAATCCTTCGCTAAAAAGCATAGATGCAGTAGTTGAGGTTCGTGGTATTCATGGATTATTTCCCTCTTAATTCTATATTTCGTTTAGTTTTGTTTGATTGAATTGAGATCATTTTTGTGATTTGATAATTGTTTTATCTGGAAAAGAAGAAAAGTTGTTTTATGATTGTCATCTTGGTTAGTAACTGCACTATATTTATTTTATTTTAGTGTGTTCATCTCTTTGTTTAGTCTAGTTAGTTACGAGTTAAGTCTACCTTTGCCTGTTAGCATATAATGGTGTATGTGAAATGCTGCATTCAAAGATTATCATTTTCATGATTGATGGCACGATTCAACATCAAGTTTTCATTCTATGAAGAAAGTGTTTCTATAGAAAAACTCGAGTAAGCTAGGCTCATGATTCGTGAAATAGAAGAATAGGAGTAAAATGTACCTATACTAGGTTAAGCTATCACCCAATTCATCTGTAAATTCGTTCTAGGATGCATGACACACATGGAAGTTAAATACAAACTAACAAAAGATAGAACAACGGAAAAAGTAACAAACTCTTTATCTAATAGTTTATACCCAGTTTCTCTACAAGATTGCAAGTGACATTTTGATAATTTAAACTTTTTTTTTTCCTTTCTTTTTTTCTTTCTTGTAGCTAACAAGATTCACAGAGAAAGGATATAAATCAATTTGCATCAGAAGCTGTAGTCAAATTGAGACATATACCAATACAATGCAGCCATGAAATTCAGATAAACCGAGATGCCTCACCTCCCTTCTTGTAAAGTAAAGGAACATCCATTCTAAGTTTTAGTTTTATCTCCTCTACAGTTATGCTGAAAGGAGCTAGGCCATAGTTGTTCTGATCTCCCAACCTTGGTGGTGATCGTGTTCTGGACTCTCGCTCCCACGCTCAGGGAAGGGATCTTTAAGGGATCTCAATTTTCAAATTTTGGGACCTTTAACCCCACTGTTAGGGATCTAACCCCCCAGTATAAAGACCAAGATAACCACCAAATTTATAGTTTTTGTTATTTATAGCCAGCTTGCAATGCAATGACACTTTTAATGATAAGCATTGCTAGCTGACTATGAATAAAGAAATCCCTACTTTAAAGACTATATATAGACATATAGTTTAGACTATATAAACTATTTAAGGTTGACAACAAGATTCTCAAAAGCTTGGGACGGAGATCCCAAAGGTCGGGATTGAGATTAGGAGTCTTGTAGAAATTCACTGTTCCCCCACTCTCGATCCCGATTCCAAATCTCCCTGCCCATCCCTCTACTGATTCCAACAACTATGCTCGGACCATACAACTGATGTGGAAATTTCCTCGATCATATCTTTGAGCCTCCACAATTGTGGTAATTTTCTTTAGGCCGACCTGTCCGTACAAAGAGAACTTACTTTTTTTTTTTTGGGATAAGGTCACTAAGAGAACCGCCATTAATGATTGAGGTTCAACATACATGTCATATCTTTTTTTTTTCTTTTTTTTTGTGAAGAATGTTCATTACATATCATATCTTCTTTCTAAGAGAGACAATGGTAACCATGCTATCCGAGATGAGTCATTGAGAAGACCTCCCATGCTTGGATGTCCAATGAATGAACTTCCATCGAAGTTGTGCTGCAATAACCATCAATGAAATGATTTCTGATTTCATGTTCTGGGATTGTTTTCAATGGTTGTCTTTCATACATGGATTAGATCAAATGAAAATGTTTATAAAACTCTCCACAAACAAAAACACATGCAGTCACAAAGCTTGTAATCTCTTCTTTGACTTCAAAACATAATCACTACCATCATAATTTCTTTATTTCTTCTCTTACAAGATAACCTAAAGGATGGTTGTTGACACAAAGATTCCATAAGGAGAGAGATCCGCATGAGAAACATATGCAACATCCAAAGCTCAACCAGACCGTCACTGAAGCACGCATCACCCTCACACACCAAATTTGAAGTCAACAAACACTAGTACTAAAATTAACTATGAATATATAAACTCTTATATTACAAGCAACTGTGTCTAAAAGTTGTATGTAATGTCTTGTGAGCAATGATCAAAATGTCAGACACCTGGCCGCCTAGGCTGATTTTGGAGAAAAACTCCTAGGGCATTCTTAAGGTGGACACTATTAGGCAGCCAGAACTAGGAGCCCGCCTAGGTAGTCGAAAAGGCGGGAAAAGGCAGCTGCCTAGGCGGCCTGCACGAGTTTGGTGGAAAAAAATTTCGGGAGGGGGCAAAAAATGTTATTTTACCCCCTTAAAAGGGGGAATAAGGGCTTGGGGGGCCATTCTTGCTCCTAAAAACAATTTTAGTGAACTTTAGAGTGGGAGACAACTTGAAAAAATCTAGATTTGAAGATTTTTTGAGAGATCGATTTTTTTTTCGAAATCCTCGAATGGTCACGATATTAAAGGATATTCATTCTCAATATTTTTTAGGCTTATAGGGGTTGTAAAAGAGGAGATTTGGGATCCCAAAAATTTCGGTTTGGCGCGAAATTGAGTGCATTTATCTTTTAATGTTGATTTTGAGCTATAATTATTTCATTTACAGTCTAAAGATGTAACTGTTTAGATTTGATATGTGCTTCCGGCATATTAACAATATATTATATACAAAACTTACTTATTAAATAATAAAACCGACAATTTTACATATAATAAAATGGAGGGAGGTGCGGGGGATCCAAATTAAAAAAAAAATCGTTGGCCGCCTTTGGGTCTGGGTGGCTGCCTTAGTGCCTAGGTGCCCCCCCCCCCCCACTGCCTAGGCAGCCGCCTCTGACTTATTAAACATTGCTTGTGAGCAAGCACACCCTATTATGGTTTTAGTTTAACTTTAAAGTTTGAAAGAGAAATTTTAGAATTTCAAAGCTCAACTCTTGTAGTCTTCTTAGATCTCACATGGTGAGTTGAAGATGTCTTTGGGAGTATATAAACCCTCCCCTAAAGGCTTTTGTCTTCTTGTTCACCCAAAAGAAAAAGCTTTTGTCTTCTCAGATAGAAAATGGTGGTTCTAAGAGGTCCTTGGGGCTATATTTGTCCTTCCTTACTATAAGCTCTTCACCATATGCATATGACTCTTTGCACTTTATCTTGCTACTTTTCTTTATTTGTTGCTTTCTGGGTAGTGTGTATAAAAAATAGCTTGTTTATGAAGCTATTTGTGATGTACCTATTCTATCCTTTGTTTGCAGGTTGAAGACGATAAAATAATCATACCTCGGAATTCCTTGGTTGAAGTGAATCAGTCTGGTCTTCTTATGGAGACCATGATTGACATTACACCTCAAGAACCGCTTCCATCACCATCATCAGTTGGACCTCTTGATCCAGATTGCTTGAAGGAAGGCCTTATTATATGTGACAGACAGAGGATTGTGGGACAACAGGGTGTTAGCTTAGATGAATTGGTTGGAATTTTCACTCGTCTTGGACGGGAAATGGACCGGATTGGTGTGGCCAATACCTATCATTTGGCAGAAAAAGTAGCATTTGCAGTAGAAGAAGCGATGCCCTTGCTTGCAAAGGTGTGTATGATCGTTTACTGAGTTGCATTTTTTGTCTTTAATTTCCTGTAATTTCATTGTATGTTCTTGATATGTTCTGGATAAAGATTGTTAGTGCTAATAAAGCATTCTTTTATTAGGAGAGAATAACGAAAGAAGAAATAAAAAACACTTTATCGGCAGTAATGGAATTATTGATAACTTATCAAGACGAAGGATTGGTGATGCGGGTGAAATATATGCACAAATTTTTTTTATTATTCTTTTTACTCCTGATTGGAAATCACAAGTACTCTGAAATAGTCTCATGTGACGTTCTCATGAATTGACAATCAATGGGAATGTAAATAGGAAGCAACATCAGGAGATCAGAATTCTCCCCAATAGAAAGGAGTCTCTTGATAGCACTTGTGGGAGGGGGTCAATGTCCTTATTAGCTTCTCTATTTTAATTGGAAAAGGAAATAGATGCCTCATATTTATTACTACATGAAATCATTGATTGTTGGGCTTTGCACAGCTCGCCTTGGACTAGTGTTCCTTAGGCATTAATGTCATGGTAGTGAATCTTGGCTTCCCATGGGCATAGGGCATCCCCACGATAAATGAAACCCCATTGTAATGAGTGAGCCTTGAAACTTATGATGTTTCATTTCTCATTATAAACTGGAATACCCTCAGCTTTGGGATATTTCAATCATTTTCTTCCTGGACAATGTTGGGAACTTTCAGTATGGGGTAAAGATATATATTTTTTGTATGCATGCATGCATACTTGCTTTTTCGGATGCATGTATATTAGATGTCCATCATAGAGCAATTTTGATAGGCATTCAAATGTATCAATGTTATAAAGACTGGACTGAATCTAGTAGGATCACTTTGTGGCCCTGGAACCTGTTCATTCCAATCACCGAATTGGAAACCTGGTCAGACTGCTTGGATAGGTTGATCCAGCTGGCCAGTCCAACTCTTAGGTTTTTTATATTTTTTTTATTGTTTAAAGTTTTCCTTAGACTGGTGAACTATCCAATCTGACCAGTTTGGACCATACCGATGTCCTCACAAGTTCAATGACAAATCTGGTCGTTATAGCTTTGATGTGTATGCATGTTTTTATGTGTATAAACTACACACCCACAAACGCACACCATTATTGTTGTTGTTATTATTATTATTATTATTATTATTATTATTTATTATCATCATCTTCATTTGAGCCTTTTCCCAACTATTTGGGGTCGGCCATATGAATCGTCGTCCGCCATCTTGCTCTATCAAGGACCATACCATCAGTGAGGCCATAAGTCCCCATATATTTTCTCACTACTTCTAAACCATGTCCTTTTGGGCCTACCCATTGCCCTTGCCCTTTTTAAGCCTTCCACTTGAACGAACTCGTACGTCCTAATAGGTGTTGTATTGGATCTACGCTGCACATGGCTAGCCCACCTAAGTCTACTTTCTTTCATCTTATCACCTATTGGAGCCACACCGAAGTTCCCTAATGTATTTATTATTATTATTATTATTCATTTTTGGTATATACCATAGTATTCAAATCCTAAGTATGCATACTTGTGTATTTGTTGATTGTTTACGTATAGTAGGTTTGCTTTTCGAGAATGAAATTATTACGCATGAAAAGGAGAACTGCTTGAAACAGAAAATGTGAGTAGAACTAAGGGTCCTCTACTACAAAAAGACTCAGTGTTTTGTGTGTCGTCAAATTTTAGTTGTACTTTACTAATTTTGCTTGCAAAGAATTTGATCTCATAAATAGCCAGATTCGCCTGTACCATATGGGGAATTGACTGAGGTATCACCATTGTTAGTTTAGAAATATTATTAGTTTTTGCGTGATTCGTTCCAAAAGCAATGTAGCTCATTTAACCAAATTGGGAAGTGGTAGCCATTCTAGTCCATGCTTTGCTCACTTAAATGCAAGGCCACTCAAGCCCATGATGTCGAAAGCCGGTTGCGTACATTAGCTTGTCTTGTGACATGTGCAAGCTCACTGCTAGCTTGCATGGATGCTCCTTGGTTCATTTTCAATCCTTCTATTTTATTTATCACTCCATCTTTGCATGAGTGTATCTCTTGATTATCTGTATTTTCTGTACAGTGATTTCTGATAATGCATTCAATGATTACCTTTTAACTAGTCACATTGTGATACTAATAAAGAATCTTCCTAATTTCTCTTCCATATTTTCATTAAAATGGAAGGAAGGTAGGCATGCGGGTAGCTTGATTGGATATTTTGTTGGGAGCTAGGGTTATTCAGCTCAACCACGGTGGTGATGTGGCTACTTGAAAAGGTTCAAAGATTTTTAAGCCGTGTTTCATGTATCACCTAATGTTTGTTGATGCTCATAATGTCATTGGATGACATGAGGTGTTATTTTCCGTTGCTTGTAGCTGACCTCTTTGAGTTGAATTCGTAGACTTTAGTGTTCTTGGATTTGTGAGTGAGCCACTTCACTGTCACGGCATTCATGTTGTGCGAATTTGGTTTTCAGATTTTATTGCATTTTTTTTCTTTTTGAGAGGACTGTTAACTGTGTTACTAACTATCATAATGTAGTTTAGATTGTATTGCACTCAATAGTAATAGTAGTAAGTTAGTAATATCTTGTAAATAGTGTGAATTTGAGTATTCGACAAACATATTTGTCATCCAGTTCTTTTCCATCCAAAAGAAAGTGTAAGGTGCCAAGTCAAACCCCAAAAATTCTGGCCTGTAAGGTGCCAACCTTTCTCAGTAGGCTGTTTCTTAGTCTCACTTGTTCTAGGAATCATGAGAAAGGTTGCGTGCAATCCTTGGCCATTCTGTCCTCAAAGCGCCAATAATCTAATCTCTAGGTGCAGCATTGCTCTCCGAATCTTGGTCTGACCTTTTTTGTGCTCTCCAAGGAACATATAACCACATGAGTTTCGAGTACTCTGCTTGACTTCCAAGGAAGTGATCTAAACCTCATAAGCATCAGTATAAATCGATGGGATAATGACCAGAGTGCTCCTAGGACTTGGCAAATGTTTTCGTGGAACCTAACTCAAGGTTACAAATTTTTTTTTTTTGGGAACAGGTTAACGCAAGGTAATAATTTAATTTTAAAAATCCTAACTCTGAACTTTCAGAATGAACTTCAAAATATTTGTGCAGTCTTAAATGCTAAAATAATTTTATATGGTGTTTTTTGAATATCAAAGTATCCAATTTATATTGGAAATTTTGGGTTCTTAATATCTATGAGTCCCATTCTTAATGTCAACTTTGTAGAGCAATTAAAAAAAAACATTCTATCTAGCCAGATACTGATGCTCTTGTCATGTTCATGCAACTGTCCAACACTGCAGCAACATTTCTGACATCATCTCTTTGCTCAATAGTTGGGGCATTGGGGTTCATGAGACAATTTTTTAATGTTTTGATACCGCTGCTGGACTACCCAAAGAAAGATAGTAGTAGTGCCCTTGTTTTTAGGCCACCTTATGAATATTTAAGTAGTTGTTGCCTTCATATTTATCTCCAACAACAGCCTATATACATTGTCATTTCTTTATTAGCCATCCTATAATGCTTTTAAAAGGGTCGAGTCATTTAGTAGGATTACCCTGTTCATACCAAATTGATGAGCGAATTTTTGGAATAATAATACTTGTATGATTAGTTCCCCCTATGTGAAAAGAACGACTGACGCATGGATCGAGGGAAGACAATCCAGCTCATCCTCTAGATGGCTTTTTTTCCTAGGACATTCTCACTAAATACTGGCTTTGGAATATCATAGAATAGATGTCACCTTATATAACTTTACAGCTGAGAAATGATGCTGTCAAGTATCCTGAAAGTAAATCCTGTATTGATCTGAAATTTGGATTATTTGAGAGTAATTGGGATGAGGCAACTCTTATTTATTGATATTCCCTCTTATTTATGTGGCTAATTAGTAATTCCACACCAGCAATGAGTGAAAATTGAGCGATTGCTTGAGCTAGGACTTTCAATTGCACACCACAACTCATCAATTTGCTGAATTTCTATGCGATATCACATTGCCCTTTTGAGAAGGAAAGTCAAACCAGAAGAACCAAAATGCCAGTTTGTAGAATGTTAAATCATAGTCATTGGCATCGAGAGCAAGGTTGGGATCAACCGATCAAGAATGAGGGATTGTGAAATACTAGAAGATCTCCATTGTTGGGAGCGTCATCCGTACAATGCATATGTTAAGGGTCTAGATCTCCAAATGTTACGAATCAAGATCCTGACCTTTGGGGATTGCCATCGTCCGAGCCTTATCTCCACTATTTGAGGTCGGCTACACGAATCATCGCCATTATGTTCTATCAAGGGTCATACCCTCGGTCAGACCATAAACCACCATATGTCTTCTCACTACTTCCATCTATGTCCTTTTGGGCCTTCCCAATGCCCTTTTAGAGCATTCCCTTGAACCAAATTTCTCCTTATGACCAATGTTGTATTAGGTCTACGCTTCATATGGCCAGCCCATCCAAGTCTACTTTCCCTCATCTTATCGCCTATTGGAACCACTCCTTAGTTCCCTCATATGTATCCATTCCGAGTTCTATTCTTTCTTGTCTTGCCACTTGTCCATCTCAACATCCTCTGTCTTGTCTTGTAACTCCCTCTGTCTTGTCTTGTAACTTTTCAATATAAACTAAATATCACGATGCCATTTCATTCTCTGTCTTGTCTTGTAACTGTCTCTCTTTTGAGACACATTGTTAAAATGATGACTTCTTCAGAACATGTATCCATTCCTTGTATATCCTTTCCTTACAAAAGCTAAATATGGAACCGTTGACTGTTCTACTAAATGCAATTTTGAAAGCATTAGATATAAGCCTTTTTAGCTCCATAAAAAACTATTTATTACTGTATACTATATATGAGTTTGGTTAGGTGGTCATGTCTCAGATTTTTTAGCTATTCATAATTTCGATAATAACCCTTTCAATTGAAGACACTCCTATTTTGTTTCCAGGCTACAT